ATTTATTATTAGTCACTTTTAAGGGGAGATTGGTAAAGAGAAAAAGATATTTCTGTTTTTTTTGTGTTTCTCTTCAAGGTGTGTGTGGAAAACCAAAATGGCCAACTCAGAAAGAGAGCCCATTTTTTCATACCATTTTTGCCAAACTGTATTTACTCCCTCTTTATGGACTGTAACCGTTAAGACCAGGCAGACGCTTGATACAACTCACTATGAGAAGCAATGTCTGTTCACATTTTTAAGCAAATTTGAAATGCAGTGGGGCACTTTTTGTCATTTTTCATTGGCGTTTTTGCTGGTTAAAATAATGTTCATTCCTGCTTTGGTAAAGGACTTTTTTTTTCAAACCCCGAAAAAAAAAAATCTCCAATTCGTGGACATCATTGCATGTCACCATGACAAAAGCTTAAGTGCATCACCCTAGAAATGCATCTTCTGGGGTTCCTCACCCTACACATGAACTTTGGTGAAAACTGCTTAGATTGGTAGAAATCATTTCTTTTCTTAAAACTCTGTTCTTTGCTTTTACATTCTGTCGCTCTCTTCTGTATGTAAATTGAAACTAAAAGGTTTTACCAAAATCATGTTGCTTCCATGGGAACTTCACTGGCTTTGATACAGCGTGTGCATGTGATGTGCTGAACGTGTAAACTTGCGGGACTTGTTCTTAGAACAGAGCAACATTTCACAAAGTGATGATTTTTACATCCCTCAGTCTGGGGCGCTTAGCTTTCTTCTTTATAAAGGCTCTTAAAAGACTTTAATCTCTAATTCTGTTAAAATCCCACTTCACAGTGATGTGGGGATTTATGAATAAATTTTCATCACCATTTGATTATATTCAGCATCTGGTCTCTGAGGTGGCACTAGCAATAAATGCAGCCTAACTATAATCACAATCGGGGTCCAAATAACACATTTTCTTCTGTTAGAAGCTAATGATCACAAATGAGGGGCGTATAGCATCGCTTGTTGAATTAAAATGAGATATTTGCTTAAGCTTTTTTTGTGAACGCTGCAGTTCCAGTGGCCTACGAAGGACTTTTAAAGTGTTGTTCTATTTGAAAATGTGAAGCTGTTGGAATCATTTATCTTGTTCTTTTTGTAATGGACACTCATTTTGAAACTCACAATGCCAATGTCATTACTGGTTAAATGTTACTGCTTACCATAACGCTCCACAACACTACAAAATGTTGCAATTTATCTTTGACAGTGTTTCACTGGTATGTATGTATATGCATTCTTATCTGTACAGTTGAGCCTTGTCAGCGAGGGGAGTCATAAACCCACATTTCATTTTAGATATTGTGACACTATAAATGATTTAACGTTGATAAAGGTCACTGTTCAGAATGGACTGCTTTCACTTGTTGATAGGTTTATCTGGCTTGGAGTGTTTTTGCTTCTTATCCCTTACTGCTAAAGATCTTGATGCTTCTCATCATTGTACCCGCACCAATATGTTGCCCTGAACCTTTTTTTTTGTTGTACTTTTAAGATGCATATATTTCCTTTTGTCAAAGGACCAGTGCTTTCGACAGCTGATCCAGCATTTTATTTATCCTACCTGAACTTTTTCCTTTCAGATACTTGGTCATTACTCTCCCTCGTTAAAAAAGAGCTTATTGAAAGAAGAAGAAATAAAGCAGTTGTGATTTCTTAAATGTACTGTTGATTCTGTATTCTCACTTTGTCATATTAAAATCATGCATCAAATGGGAAAATGATTTTAGGCTGTGTCCAGCCCATTCCTGAAAAACACTGACCGTATAAATGTTGTTTTTTTATCATTTATCACTGAAGAAAAAACATTTTCCTCCAGGCACCTGTGTCAATGTCTCCCAGTGGCTACAACCCCATGTGGACCCCATCCTTTACCTTACAATATGTTTTATTTATTAAAACATTTTGTTTACTTAGACAGTTGCAACCAGGAATAAAATAAACGTAATGAGCCACTACTAAATGACTTTAATCCACTATAATATTGAGTGATAATACAAATAAAGTGATACTTGTATTGTTGCGGTAACTCATCAAAAACGTGACGTCAGAAATTCCCGAGATTTCTGCAGGACGGAAAAACCTGTCTAGACAAAGACTGTTTTCTTCCTTAATAGCGGGAGGAGGAAGCCTTGTTCTGTTCCACAGGATTTATTGGCGTTGGGACAGGCTCCGAGCATTTTCTGTGATTCAACAAGGTAACTTCACTTCTGTTTGTAACTGTGTCCACTTTCCACCCCCCTACCGTAGTTTCTTTGAGTTTGGTAAAGTAAGAAAGATATCCAACTTGCCTCGAGAACAAATCGCTTTTGTTACACAAACAACGTCTCTGAACATCTGTTGTAAGACAAACTACAACGTAATTCTGATTACAAATAGCCAAAACGGTTCTTCGAGCTGGATACATTGCAGCCGGAGGAGAGACAAGTGCGCAGGGACCGTCTTCAAAGGGCACCGCCAAAAAAACAGTTGTAATTGATACAGTTAAGTGCTATCAAAATAACGTCACACATTTATTTGGTGATAATTTCTTGTGTACAATTATCTTTTGCATAATTTTGCTGAATATTTATTGTGTTGTAGACTGAAACAACACCCAATAACTTCACTATTATACAGTGTAGTGTTACCAAAATCCCGTTATAACGTCTCAACAGTTGTGGGAAGTAAATACACAAGTACTGTACTTAAGTACACTTTTGAGATACCACCAGTAGCCTACTTGAGTATTTCAATGTTTTTCTTCTACTCCACTACAAATCAGAGGTAAATGGTGTTACTTTTACTTTAGTAACTTTACAGACTTGGTGAAATCATGTGAAATAATCAACACTTAAATAAGACTTTAGTTTCATAAGATTCAGTAGGCCTATACAAAGTAATTAAAACTTGCTGCACCTTTACCAGCTTTGATAAACACTTGTATCCGACACTAATGCATCAATAATTATAATCAATACATATAATATATATTATTCTTCAATGGACCAATCTGCATAAGTATATTTTGAAGGCAATACTTTTGTAATTTTACTTGAGTAACATTTTGAATGCAGGACCTTGCATATAGCTGGATTGTGTGTGTTTGTCAAATGAATGTATGTGTCTTTCCATACATTTTCTATCATCATTTTAATAGGCGTCCCAGCACAGACAGTATGTTTCAGTTTGCTTTGAATAACCGGTGTGTTTCTGTGACCCAGGATGGCGTCGAAGGGCGGCGTCAGGCCCGATGAAAGCCTGATGATGATGCAGGAGTTTGACGACCGGGTGAAAGAGCAGAAGGACAAACTGGAGCATGTTCGCCTGTCTGCTGTTGAACTGAAAGAAAACTTGTCTGCGGTATGTTCAGCATATCAAATCCATTTTTAAGATGCTTTAAACCAAACTGGTTTTCCTTGAGCTTGTTTTATTTTAACATTATTTTCTTCTTATATAGTGCAACAGTGATCTCACCGAGTCTATCGCTGACCATCTGGAACGGCTGAATCACTTGTCAGAGCGAGTGGAGACTCTTCACCTTAACACAACTGTTTTTATTCAGGTGAGAAATTGATAGTTTCTGAAGGTATCTTTATTTGCACAAATTGGCAATAAACCTCTTACACTGTAAATATTGTATTGTGCTTTATGCCATCAGTATGAAAAATAGGACTTTAACCATCCCGTGTTTGCTGTATGTCAGTTTGTCACTGATAATGTGTTATCAAATAAATTAGTTAAAGGATAGGCAACATGCAAGCATAACAGCAACGGGAATGGTATTGATTTCCATAAAGCCCCCCCAGACAGTTATTTGGATGTAGTTGTAAATATTACCAAACATATTTCTAAATGATCTATACTATAGCATCATAAACAAAACAAAGCAGCTGCAGTAATCTAGCCCTGATGCAGGTTGTGAACAATTCCTTAAACCACAGAGATGTGTACCAGCAATAGAAGAGGGTAGTGCAGAAATAATAACGATGATGTTGGCGATTACTCAATTATCATATGTAAATCTAAAATGACAAGAGTTAAAAATCCCTCAGTTTTTGCACTGCGGTGATTTATCTAGCTGATGTTATTGTAATCATCATAGTTTGTCTAGAAAAGTAATTATGTCATATGAAATACTTGGGACTATTAATACTGAAATATCAGATTCACTATCAGAATTATTTTATTCTTCACTCAAAGGGGACATGTAAGTTGTTACAGCAAAGTATATATAGAGGAAGAAAATAGAACACTATTATATAAAAAGGCATGCACATAGTATTTAAAATAAAAAGTATTACAATTTTCAGAAGTACATATTCAAGTAGATAGTAAGTAGCAAATATTGAAACATATACAAAAGTATATTGTGATCTTTAATCCTTTCTTCATCTATTTCCAGATGAATACCAAACCTCGTCTATGGGCGGGCAAACAGGGTTCCAAACAAAGCTACCGCCTCGGACGCCTCCACAAGGCTGAGGACGTCAAGTCGGAGTTCGGCTGGTCCCCCATCCGTACACGACGAAACAGTAATGCTGCATCTGAAATGTCTTGTAACTGGGGAATTGTGGCCTTAAACAACTGCATTTGTTAAAAGTTCCACATAGTTTTAAGCTCACTTCCACCAAATTGATGATAAAGAAAACTCCTGTATTCTTGTTTTGTTGAAAACGGTATTGTTTAATAAAATCATCGCTAATCGTGTCCTGTCAAAATGTCCATTATTCATAACATGCAGTTGATCCACTCAATAATACAAATTCAGAGATATTACTCCATTAATTTGTACTATATTACTAAGTAGCATTTTTTACAGTGCAATAATTGAATTCTAGTCTTTTAAGGTTTGTGCACTTTTTTCTCAAAACATCCAAAAACTGATATTTTGTAACAACAGTCTGATGTAATGTGTGTTTTATGTAATGGAGCTGCTTATGTCGCTGCAGGTGCCCCACCAGCAGGGGTCGCTGCTAAACGCTTCCTTTATGTCCTTGTTCTTCACTTTTGTAAATAAAGCTTTGGCAGAGCGCGTGGGTGACACTAGAAGGAAGGTCCGATTCGCTAAAGTAGCACTACCTTCATAAAAAGGATCATTTTGACCACACACAGTAGTACCTATTTTTGTATCTATATTTAATATTACGGGTAACGAGTAAACCCCTACAAACATGGCAGAAAGTGACTGGGATACCGTGACTGTCTTGAGGAAGAAGGGGCCGTCTGCTTCACAGGCCAAATCCAAGCAGGTTAGCTTGAACACCTCACTCCTTATTTGTGTTTGATTTATTTCTGAAGCATACTCTCAACTATGGACACTCTTAACGAGACAAAATGATTCAGGTTTTAGTAAATAACTGAGTAAACGTTAATAACATGGTGTAATAGTTAAATGTAGTACACGTGGTTGCGGGTTAAAATGACCAGCAAACATGCTCCGTAGTTTGGTTTGCTAACGTTAGCTAGCTAATAACAACAACAGTAGACGTGTTATTTCACTTCTTCCAGCAAACCGTTTATAACGGATGGGGTGTGGTTTTAACTAACAATATAGTCGGTTTTATTATGAAGGGCGTATGAGAAACTAAACGGCTTTCTTCTCACTAAATACAATACTCTGGTAACCTAAACCAAGTGTATGTCGACAGCCAAACGGCTAGCTTTGTCTAGTGCAAATTGAAATCATATTTTAAAACATCAATTATTAACTTAACTTGTTGTCTTTTGGGCAAGCCAAACCTAACACAAATGTTTACCTTAGTCCGGGTAGCTTGGTAATGTGACTGTTATTTAAAGAAATGTACGGCGACCAACCAACTTGCTAGCTAGCTAGCTAACCTAAAAAGGGTTCTTGGCAGAGAGCCGAAGACCCCCCTTTCCGGTGGAACTCCATGGGACCTTATTTCGGAAAAATTATGTATTGAAGTCAATGGCGAGAGAAAAGTTATTTTTCGATCCCGTTTGATTTGTGCCATGAATTAGACAAAATATGTTTGTCAATCTTAAAAAATAATTTCCAAGTAAAAAAAGTCACAGTTTGTCGTAAAACTGTGAAGTAACACTTATTTGTGTGTGAAACCGCCCAATGAACTACATCTCTGGTCTTGCACAATACACGTCACCAACACCAGAATGAGGTGAAAAGTATTAAACTAGGTGAAAATCATTGCACGTCTGGGCATGTTGAGAGCTGCTATTACACAAAAAGGGAGTTGGTCGGTTCCGTAAGAGCCAGTACACGGGAGGCCTACTAATGTGGAACGTTAATGTCAGCTAGCTAACATTAGCTAACAAGGTACACATTACACTCGTTTCCCACTCACCTCGGCTCTTACGGAACAGACTAACTCCCCTTTTGTGTATATACTAGGGCTGTCAGTCGATACAAAATATTTTATCGCATGATGTCCATAGTTAATCGCGATTAATCGCACATCTGTTCTAAATGTACCTTAGAGGAACGAATATTTTTCAAGTTTTTAATACTCTTATCAACATGAGTGGACAAATATGCTTTATGCAAATCTTTGTTTATTATCATTGGAACAATGACAAATATTCTCCTGAATATTCTCAACACAACAACCTGGAACCTCTCTCTCTCTTACATTCTCTCCCAACCCTCTCTACTTCTTTGCACTGAGCCAGTTGCTCAAACAGACAAGCCTGTTTACAGTTGTCAGCGAAATACCGCTCCTCTGTCTTCATCTTCAGTCAAAGCACTGTGGGTCAAAATAATAAATAAATAATGCGCTGTGATGTGCAGTCGACACGTTGGATGCGATCCGAATTATCTAACGCAGCCCCTCGTCCTCCACAATGTTAAGCTGTAGCCACCCATTTAGCTATCGCTGTTAAAAGCTTGATGCTCGTAGAAGTGTCCAGGCGTCTCCCCGACAAACTTTCAAGCGTGGTCTGCAGCATGCGAGCGGCAGGAGCGGGGCTGTCAGCATCAGCTGTGTGCTTGGCTTGCTGTTTAAAACACCTTTTTTTTTAATCCATATCTCTCGCTATAATCTCCCACCATCCAACTAACAACAACGTCAAGCCTTTGGACTCTGAAACTACGGGGCGGGCCGAGGACAAATACACATGCGTTAATCGCACGTTAAAATAATTAGTGGTGTTAAAAATGTTTGTTAACTTGACAGCCCTAGTATATACAGCTCTCAACATGCCCAGACTTGTAGTGATGTTCTCCCCGTTTAATACTTTTCGCCTCATTCTGAAAGAAAGAGGTGACATGTGCTAACGTGACGGCCAGCTTGGTGTTGATGACGTGTGTTGTGCGAGACCAGAGATTTAGTTCATCGAGCGGAAAAATTATGTTCAAGTCATTTGGTTGTGCTCCGGCCTGACTGATCATGTTGTCTTTTGTTTATTTAATGCGTCATATCGAGATGGGCTGATTAGTTACATATTAATTANAATTCTTAAATTTCCCCTCCTCGACTCCTCTCTCCTCCGGTAGTGACCCGGAAATGAATTTCAGCGCGCCATGTTGAAGGACATCGAGGACCGAGCATCGAGCATTGAGGAGGCTCTCTGGAGGAGCTATGATCAAGGATACACTGATGCATCCTCCACGGCTCCTCCAAGGATGCATTTCCGGGAACGGTGGAGGCGTGACGCACGGCCGGACTTATCTCAGCCAATGACAGCTCTGCATGCATCCCCTGGATATTATTTTAGTAACTGCTTTCATCGCGAGGCGATGTTTGCCGTGAGAAAAGCTGTGAGGTCCGTGCAGAAAGCAGAGCAGTGTGTAAAATATATATCAATCAGTATAACAGGCCTACATTACTCTATGTATTTGTATGCTGTAGTTTAGTAGATATCTACAAACAAAGAGTCGATATTTTTCTAAGACCATTTAGTGCTTCACATAATAAAATACACAACGGCTGTGGCCTGATTATGCTTTAGGAGCTGTAGGTGTGTGTATTTTTTACAGTGTGTAGATGCAGCGGATAGACAGGTCTCAGTTGGTTTGGTGTCCTATGCTTACTTGTAATACTTGTAAATACAACTTTTGGCCCGTAATTTCAATTCCCCATTTCAGCGACCAGAGAGAGGGGGGGATATATCCAGTCTCTGATTGGGTTACGTTATTATGAGAGTGCTCTCATACTTTAAATTGTTTATATTTATATAAATATATTTGTGTGTGTCCGCATCTGTAGCCTGTTATTGTCTCATTATACCGCACTGCCAATGAATTAAAAGTAAATATACAAGTCATCATGAACACATCTGTCCATCAGACAGAGGGCTGCTGTGCCTCCTGTCATCATTAATGGGCGTCTCTTTAAAAGGACCGCTCAGAGGAGAGGAGTTCTCATTTCTCTAACCGCCTGCTGCTTCCCCTCCTCTCTCCTCGGTTCCCCTCCTCAGTCCTCCGCTCGCATCTCCTGTGGGCGGGACTAAGTCTCGAGGATAGGAGTTGAGGAGGAGTCGAGGAGGGGAAATGTAAGAATTGAGAAGCCTCTCGTGTTCACGTGGACAGCAATATTGAGGCTGTGAATCATGTGTCCATGAGTAATAAATGCTGTATTTGGGACGTTCTGCCTCTGCCTCCTTGCTTGGTCGGGCCGCTCAACGGTCAGCTTCAGAGTATAATAGGAGACATTTCAAATGTATTTTGGGAAAGTATTAATCAATTGCTATGCACAGTCCTGTATAAAAAGATTTAGTTTGAAAAGATCACATTTCAGAGTAAGCTCCTTTTTTATCTAACCGTCATCCCCTCAAAATGGGTAATGTTAAGAAATCACATCCACTTTGTTGGTTTCAGTTTTCTTCAACAATGTGAAAATAAATGATGCCCAGCTATGCTTGAGTAGTTTTGCTGGCTGGTGGTTTGACACATTTCTTAATTATTTATGAAAAATCTTCTCCTCAGAAAATTAATGAGAAGCCTCAAGTCATCGCAGACTATGAATGTGGGAAAGCAATTCCAAACAACCAGGTCCTGGGCAAGATAGAGAGAGCAATTGGTAAGAAAAGCATTTGCTAATGATTATGATTTATAAAGTCTCAATTGGCAGTTGTATAACACTTTTGAATTGTCTGTCATGAACAGGTCTCAAACTGCGTGGGAAGGACATTGGGCTACCCTTGGAGCCAAAAACCATGAAAAAGTGAAGACATAGCCTCGAAATCAGCCCTCCCCAGGCCCCTTCTTCCCCTGTCCAAAAACTAGAACCCTTTCCCTACCCTCCTTCCAAGAACCCTTTAAACCCCCCTCCCTACCTTCCTCTCCCCCCTCCCCCTACCTGGGCTGATCTCACCTGTGTCCTCCCCCAGGACCGGGTTCTCCACTGCATCACCGGCTGCTTACTGAAACTGTTTCTCCACCACATAATCAAATGAATGATCGAACGTATTTTTCAACGTCACTAACTCGGGAGTTCTGTGAATCCGTTTGCTTTGGCTTTGGCATGATGAATTCAACTTTTTAATGTAGACTAATTTAAAGAAGTAGAATTATTTTTCATTACCAAACAAACTACTTTGACTCACGTTATTTCTGAGCATGATGATAAGCCAAAAGTGCTCGATTGCATCTTTTATTTCACTCACGAGGAAAGAGTGGATGTCATTACAGTTTTGAAATGTTTTAATGCTGTGCTTTGTTTTGATCTTTTGAAATAAAGTCTCGCAATTCATGACAGTTCTCTGTGTGCATTGGTGGGCCATGGTCGCACACGGTTTCATAAGAAAAGGTGAAGAGTTTTTAATAATTCCTAAAAAGTTACAAATATTATTTCTTAAAGCTGTAAAACATTTACATGTTTTAATTGTATGTCTCACAATGAATCAAACATGAACATGTTTTACATTTTAAAATGGCTTTTGCTCACTACCTATAATTGAAGCAACCCTCTACAGTTTTAAGTGTTTTGGCAGCAACAGCAATACGAGTTAAACACAATATAGGACATAGAAGAGTTTAAAGAAGGATAGTTAGAATAACAAAATAAAAATCTGACATCAAAGATAAATATAATCAAAGTGGTTTGAATATATACAGATATTAATATGATAAATGTATATAGATTAAAATGTTGAAGTGTAAGTCCAGATATGTACATACAGTGCCTTTCATAGGTAAAAATGCAGGATGTTAACCGTTTAAGTTTAAGGGGGAGGTCAATCCTCGACAGGCCCCAAAGGAGGTATCCTGAAACAACCTGAAATCTGGATGTAGTAGCCATCTTGATCCACTAGATGTCAGAATACTACCAGGAACATATTGGGAGTGGTCCACTATGTTTGAACTATGGTATACAATATGTGTATCGCAGGTTTTGTGCAAGGTTGTGACTTCTTGATGTAAAAGGAGTACACAAAGTGAAAACTACTTTTTAAACAGTTCTAGAAAAAAACATCTTGTTTAAACTTTATATATGCTGCTAAAGGTGCACAATTCAAAGAAAAGGTCCATTGAAACTTGTGACACTGCATAGATGTGTTGAAATGTTGACTTTAGTTTCAAAGGATTAACTATCCTATAAAGTTAACATCCTTGCCCTTTTCAAATACTCTAAAATGAGAGGCCTTGATGAAGACTTGCTTTCAGCTCTCTCTTTGTCTTCAATGTTCCATTTCCAACATGGGTTATTGATTCAAGAATGACTTTTGCCGGTGGGAGGCTGCCTTCTGTTTTATTAAAGATTCATGGACCTTATTGTTGCAAAAATAACAGACACAGCATGATGAGGGGAGCTGCAAGTGGGACAGACCGCATTTAAGGGAGAGAGGTAAACAGGCACTCAGCTGAGATGAAAAAAGAGCTTTCAGAGGTCAGGCAATGCCAGCATTTAGTTCTACCTCTATCAATCCCTAATCTGCAATCTCTTGTCTGGTGAGATAACCCCCTGTGGCACACTTATAGATCAATGTGGTCATACAAAAAACAGACAGCCGAGCACACCTGCATGTAGCTGTGACTGTATAATCTATTATCTGCTTGTTTTGGGTCCCACAGGGTGCCTGATAACATCACTTCTAACTCTTTAATGAATTGGAGAGGAACACTGCCATAGCTGTTGATGTTACTGAGTAAGCACAATAACAAGATCACACAAATAATTCAGGTATGGAATTCAGCCATCATTCATTTTATTATATACAGATATTCTTACTGTCATGTCAAAATGTTTATTGTGAAAAAGGCCTGGGTAAAGGGACTGACATATATCCTACACACACATAATCTGCCTAATGCAGTTCCTGTTAGAGTAGGTGCTTCACCGTAGTGGGCAAATAGTTGCAGGTCAAACCCTCGTACCAGGAGAGCAAGGACACAGACGGGCAACAATCCTAGCTGGTCTACAACGCCATTGACCTCCATTTTGCTGACATATGGCATACTAATATAATGAGAAAAGTCAGAGTATAGCATTTCAAAATAATAACAAAAATAGTCATAGTATAGTATGTTGAAATAAATGAAAAAACCTCAGTATAGTATGCCCAGAAAAAAGTCATAGTATAGCATTTAGAAAAAATATAGAAAACTTCAGTGTAGTATGTCAAAAAACGGAATTGTATAGTATTTCGAAAATATTTGGAAAAACGTTATACTGTAGTATATCAAAAATAAATCATAGTATAGTATGTTGAAAAATTGTTTATAATAGTTATTGAATACTATGGCAAGTCATAGATTAGCATGTTGAAAAATAGGAAAGAAATGGCATAGTATGTTGAAATAGTCATAGTATAGTATGTCGAAATGTAAGTATTGTCACAAAAAGTGTCTCAAAAAAGTTAATCATATCATTAAAAGTAATTCAAAGTCATAATATATAAAAAAGGTCACAAAGAAGTCACAGTGCGCTATGATGATGAATAAGTAATTGTACAGGACTTCATAAAAAAAGTAATGGAATAGAAAAAATGTCACAGTATAGTATGGTATGCAACCTCCTGACGTGTGTGTGTGTGTGTGTGTGTGTGTGTGTGTGTGTGTGTGTGTGTGTGTGTGTGTGTGTGTGTGTGTGTGTGTGTGTGTGTGTGTGTGTGTGTGTGTGTGAGAGAACGAGAAAGGGGTAGCGAGACTCACTGCGTTCCTGGAAATGCCGTTCCATTGGTCAAAACACCATAGCAACATAGTTCCACCTATGACAAGGGAGCAGCCAGCGGTTTTCAAGGAGCGATGTGTAGCTGAAAGCTACATGGTGGAGGATTCGGGGGGGTTAGCGCTGGGGAAGGGATTGGCGCTGGGGAAGGGATTGGAAGTCTGGGGTCTGGTTTGGCCTGAGGCTCCGAAATTGAGATTCCACAACACGTACAACCTGTTGTGTTGCTCCCTGCAAAGCCTCTCCGTCTCCCATGCAAGAGCAGATGCTTCTTTTTCAAGCGTTGTTTGGCTCTTTCTCACTTTTCTTTCCTGGTTCAATAAATTACTTTAATCCCTTCACAAAAGGCTACTACAATTTCTGTATATTCACTGGAGGGTACAGCGTTTTTTTTTTATCCTGCATTCACAATAGATGCCACACTGCCTTGCATAATCAATTTATTCAAAACAGAGTAAAACAAGACACATAACAAAGTCTAAGTGACTTTGTATGCAGTAGTGCTCATGTTGTACATCCAAATAACACCTAAGACTTTCTGTCACACAATACGAGAACACGACTCAAACAAAGCCCTCATTTCCTTTTAAGAAAAAATAAATACATCATCTTTTCTTCATGTAGGAGTGTAAAAGTTTTGCAGGCACAGCTGGTAATTCAAACTCAATATTAAGCCCAATTATGAAATACAAAAAAAAATCAAAACACCAGATTATACTGTGAGAAAATATATGCACAGTTTATTGATAGATGCAAATAGGTGAGGCACACACAAAATAATTCTAATCAATAATGTATTAGTTGTGAGATCTGACCACGTGTTTTGTCTACAACGTTAGGAACATCAGTCGGGCTGAAACCTGGTGCAGGCTGTACATTTCTTGACTTTATTAGGAAATTCTTTGTCCAGATAATATTCCCATGAACTCGAGGCCTTCTCTGCAGCCTTCATGGGACACAGAATGCAAAAACAAACAACTGGATAATCCACAAATGAAAATAAACAGAGACATTCCAGTGACTACTACAGGATAACAAATTATTTCATAAATAGATTTTTAACGGCTGTTCTTATTCATGGCTTTTTAAGACCTGCTTGGGCTCATTTTCTAATATCATCTACAAATCACTGTACAAAGTTGTTTCGGGAACATTCGGTGAAAGGCCAGTTTCACAAAGGACGAACGATCGGCAATATTTACATTTGGAGTCACTGTAACATATACAAAGAACAAAAGGCACTGCGACAAATGTCAAAACATTGAAATATATACTAAAAGTAAGAGTACGGTAAAACTGGGCATCCATTCAATAGAACATACGCTAACGTTGCCAAAAGTTTTGTCAATCCAATTCATTTTGAGTCACACACATTGCTGTCTAAAAACAAAACGTATGCCACTAGTACACCAGTGTAACTTTCTGTGGATTTGGTTAAAGAAAAGTTTGTATTGTTTACACAGTATACAGTACAGCACTATGTGCCCATGAAAAAACATGACGGAGAAGGTGCAACAGTGTAAGTCTGCTAGTGACCTCATATCTTTTTTTATTTATTCAAAGTTAGCTGCACAGTTATTTAGACACGACACAGCATTACTCTGCAAAGCTAGCTGACGTAATGAATGGTTAGCCTCTTCTTATCGGGTGAGATGTCTTTTATTTTAATAAATACTCACAACACAGTGTCAAACATGAAACTTTGGTAAGTGTATTATCGGATTATGCATACTGTCCATATTGATCAAAGCGATTTTAGTCGATAAGCGAATGTTTAATGATTTTGCCCGTCATGTCTGACTGTTACAAGAATATTTAGAAATAGTTAACAGGTAATGTCTTTGCCATGTTGCCAGTCTGTAGCAGGGTCGTGTTTGTAAAACAGTGGACGGTTAGGTTGATGCATGGCTCTTCAGCATGCAGCGCAAACAGGTGGGCAGGTTCACAGTGTCTCCCATCCATAGTGTCTAGACATTACCTTTGTTATTGGTCTCTCTCATACACACATTCACGCATCACTTCTAATCAACTCACACACCTTTTAAAGTGGACATCACTTCATTGAGTAGAGCAGCTCCGCAGTGTGGCAGAGAGACAGAGGGTGAGCCGAGGAAAAGTACTGACAGCAGAGCCAGTCCTCCAGCTCTGCGTTCCTCTCGGGCTCCAGGGAGCGCTCTGCGAACTTCATCATCAGCAGGGCCCGCTTCACGTCCAGCCAGTTCAGGAGACCCTCGTGTCGGGCTCCATCAACAAAGCCGACCCCCTGTCCCTGCCTCTCTCGCTGCTGCTGCTCCATCAGGTCCTTCCGGGGGCCCCACAGCAGGCTCTGCAGGATGCGCTTGGCCTCCTGGATGTGGATGCGTTTGATGGGGTCCGGTTGGAGCAGGAGCTGCGCCAGCCTCTGGAGGCCGGCGGAGTAAAGGGACACGGAGGGGATGGGGGGCAGCTCCTCGCAGCGGTAATCTTGTTCCTTCAGAGCTGGACTCACCTCAAAGGGGTTGGCTTGGTGGAGGAGTTCGTAGATCAAGATGCCTGTTTGGAACTCGTCGAATTTCCGGTACTGGGCTGCTGACACGATCTCAGGAGCCAATCTGGCGTGGTCGCGTTTGAAGCGAGGGTCCACGCTGGTTGAGGCCGCGTCCTCAGAGGAGCGACGCTTGGCCTTAGCGAAGTTGCTGATGAGAAGCCGGGGAAGGTGACGCTGACTGTCTACGCCACTTGAACTGGTGCCGTTTTCGGAGGAGGTCTGTGGGGAGAACTGGGAGGGTCTGCGGAGATGTGGCACCAGCAGCAGGTTCTCCAGGCAGATGTCGCGATGCGTGACCCCGTGCTCCTTCAAGTGCTCCAGGCCGTGGCAGAGCTGCAGGAGGAGGAAGCACACACGGCGCTCATAGACTTCTGGCTGAGCTTTATGGAACGCCGCCCACTCCCGGACAAAGTCAGCTGCCGTCTGTCGAGGGATCTCCGGGGTGATGACCACCACTCGCTCTCGCTCTACCTGTTGGCCAGGCGCAGAGGGCTGAGGCAGCGAGGAGGCAGGTGTGCTGGGCAGAGAGACTTCGTCAGAGGGCAGCATGCTCTGGGGGACACAGGCCAGGAAGTGGCCACAGTCCTGCTGCAGGTTGAAGTGGGGGGGCATACTCTGCTGCACCGACAGGCCGTAGAGATGGACCTGCTTGGCATCCACGGAGGGACTCTTGCAAATCTGCGGAGGTATAAACACAAAGATCAGTGGGGGGAAAGGATGAAGAAAAGGAGATAAAAGGGCCAGAGGGGGGAGAGGCACATTCCACAAACAGAGCAGGAAGGGAACCGAGCCAAGAAACACAAGAAAGGGATTGTTGTTAGTTAAGTTCCAAGGCCAATTCAGTTCCTGCTCTCATTCAAGTGAAATTAATGTCCTTCATGCAGAAAGGCTTTTTTTATCCAAACTCTGGTACAGCCCTTCTTTGTCTGCAGATTCGCTAACATGCTCTGGGAAAATTCACACTAAATACAGTTCTAAAACAAACATACAAATGTTACAACTCTCATTGTGTGTTTGGGTCAGATTTCTAAACATAATCTCTTCTCAGTGATTAACTGGACTAAAATCCACTTTCATGGGGTTCAACTTTCAGCCAGGAACACACTGGTAGCACATCTGATTATAATATGATTATTTGTGCTGAATGGTCTCATACTACATAGTGTGTGTTTGGTACTGAGTGTGTGCTGGCCTTGACAACAGGGGGTTGTCTGATTGTAAATCCTGCCTGGAATGTAAAGATTAATTGGGCCTGGGGTTATTAAGCAAGAGTGTGGGCAGCCACGCTGTGGTACAACACATACTGTACAAACAACTGCTGCTTTGTACTACACTAATGACTTTAGGACAAAGGTTAGTGAGACTGAACCCACACCCTTCTTCCTGGTTGTTTACACTAGATGCCCTGAAGGTTTCTACTGTAGCGGGGCCATCCCATCTGTAGCCTAAGAACAAACAAGACCAGCGCCCAATTTTAATCTCCTCCTTCTATCCTCAAACTGTCAAATCCCTGCTTAGAAGATCAGTTTCAACAACAGCCGCTGTAGATTCCTTGCTCTCTTGACATCAAGCTTTAAGTAGGGAGAATAAACACGATCTGTACATTACAAAAACACAGCCAACACTTGTTTACTATACTATCATTAGTGTCTAAACGTGGTTCAAATTTCAAAGCCATCTAGGAAACTCAAAGATTAATTTATCACAAACTATTGGTAAGTTCTTCTAAAAACTCAATGTAGCAGTTAGTTTGAGGAAAAGGAAATAGTTAGAATCCCTACTATTTTCTCCAGACCCTGTTTTTGATACTATGCACGTTCTGCAAAAGCCATGCGATTTTCTTTTCATTTAGCCCAACATTTTCCATTTCTGCGTGTAAACAATTTGGAAAAGGGACAATTATTGAAAGATTGTTCTAGCTCTAACAACATGATTTCATTTGATAGGGTTTAAATAGACAAGTTGTTTTGTTATTTTGTTTGCAACCTTCAGAAGCCTGTGACCAGCAACACCAGTTACCTTGGGAATTGCAAAAATGAATCTGGTCAAAAGATAAGGCGTTCAGGAAATGAACAAGGTTATTCTAAACAAAGTCACAATGTAAGGCCTAGTATTTAGGGATTACCTTCACAGCGTATGAGTTGCTGGGGTCCGAGGCACAGGCAGCAGAGTAGTACACAGCGTCTCCTGAGTTGCAGCTGGGCTTGTTGGAGGTGAGCCTGAACAGAGACCAGTTGCTCTCCTCAAACCTAAGAGGGTTTCTCTGGGAACGAGTAAAGTGATCTTCACATTTAAGAGCCAGGCGCCGCAGAGACTCTGCGTACAGGCCTCCCAGTTTGGAGTACACTCCCTCCCTGCTGTCTATGTTACTCAGGAGGGTCTGTAGCTGCAGGCTGGAGCCCAGATTGGCCGCAGAGCCAGGTTCTGAGGCTGAAAAGGGCACGCTGAGTTGGGGGGAGGAGGAGCAGGTGATGCTGCTCCGGCAGTGGACGCCCAGACGCCCGTGAGTTTTCAGGGGCTCATCCAGAGTCCGGGATTTCAAAGGTCGGCCTAGCGGGGCGTGGCAGCGCTCCAGAGACTCGTTAGAAGAGAAAACGGGTCGGGGGTCTATAGGGCTGGAGGGTAAACTGCAGCGGGAGCTAACATCGGCGGGACGGCACACGTTGCTCTCTGAGCCGGTGAACGGGAGACGGGGGTAGGCTCGGACAAAGGGTCTTCCGTTAGCGCTGTCTGGAGCCGACACGGTGCGGTTGACCATCTTTTTCTCTGGAAGCGGAGGTGGCGTGTTACTTAAGCTGTTTAGGAATGGGGGGTGAGGAGACCCTGGAGCTGAGGCCGCAGGACTCCTGGAGAATGGAGAGGAGCAAGACATTCGGGAAGCATCTCGAGAACCTGAGAAAAGAAAAATAATCTGTATCAGCAGGTTTACTTAAAATCAAAGTTAGTATTAGTTCAGTCAGTATAGCGTATAGTTTCTAAAAGGAAAGGTTAAAACAATTGTAGTAAAAGGAACACAACTACAGAAGTGGACAAACTTCACCTCAAAAGATATATAAATTGTTAAAGAAATAGCTGTCTTATTTGCTGAGAATTAGATTCAATTATTTATAACACTAACATGTCTTTAAAAAACACATCAATCAATACAAATATAAAGTATTAATTAGTGAGTTTTCTTTGGACAGAGCCATGCTAGCTGTTTCCCTCTTCCCAGTGTTTACGTTAAGCTAAGCTAAGCTAAGCTCACCAGCTGTAGCTTAGTATGGAAGAGACATTAAAAAAACAAAGATGCCCAAACTTTTCGTTAAACTAACATCAAACAACATGCTCAAATAGATACACAGATACAGATAGATAGCAAAGACCATTGATTCAAACACATATCCCTCTGCATCTCAGCATCCTTGAGTTAATTTCCTATAACCTCACAGACTCACATCCTCCTGGGTGACAGCTGTGAGTTTGATTTATTTACTACACCCCGTCTGTCACTGCCTGCTGCTCAGCCTTAGCACCAACACATACCTCGTTTCCTCAGAAGAGCTGGACATTTCCAAAATCCTGGGTTCAAGCTGACACTCAAAACATCTTCCACTGAATTATGATCCATTTGTCAATTAACGATTTAAAGTAGGAACTTGACATTACATTAGAGGAGGCAGATACTGAGATGAATGGTGTGGTGTGCTCTCCAATAACTGCTTTCACAGAGGGGGAAGACTGTAAAGACACAAAAAGTAGGATGTAGCCAAGCCCTTTTTCCCTCGTTATCAGAGTCCATAATTATCTCTTCAAACAACATGGCTCAGGAAGTTACAGCCATTACAAGCATCTGCACCGCGGAGGACATGTGAAGGATGCCACTCATTCTGAGCCACGTCTCAGGTTCGATGATAGTAGAAATCCTAAAGTTGCGTTTTCAAAATGAACACGGGGTCAGAAAAACTGTGATGTGACTTTACAAAAGAGGAAGAGATAAGCCACTGTAAAACAATGCAGCGCTCCGTTTCCTCTTTTTACTGTTGTTAGACAGTGATTCACTCTCAACAAAGTGCATCTTTAAAGAAACATGCTGAAACAGCGTCTGAGCAGCCATACTAACACATTAACAAAAGCCTATGTCCGTTAAAGATGTGGAAAGGCACCAGCTTGATCAATAGAATACAAAATACTTATGATATGGTGCTCACCAGTGTCGGCAGTCAGGTTGTCATTGGAGGCGGTGGGTAGGCTGGCACTGCCCAGGCCCCTCAGAGAGGAGGGGGGGCTCTCAGCAGACCCTTGCTGGCTGCAGCGGTCCAGCTCCATGTTGCTGCCACTCATCTTACCGCACACTCTGTAATGGAGAGAATAACACGGTGAATTTGATAGGACAAACAGACATGCATTCAAACCATATATTGTGTATATCTGTTCCGTGCCTGTGTTGCTGATGTCATTGCCCAAAAAAACATTAAGCCAAGTTTAGCATCCACTGGTCTGTAGGCTTTCTGCTGAAAGAGATCTGTCCATAAAATGTGGAAAACTCCATTTCCCCTTGATGCTTTCTTATCAGCACTATGTTATTCTAATGAATCCACGTAAAACAGCACACTGTTTCATTTGAAATGACGAACAAGTAAAGGTTGAGGAGTAGTTCCACTTCCTTGTTCAAGAGCCACTTCTTGTTTTTGTCATGATTCATAGCTGCAACAAACAACGACTAAATCCTCTCAGGGCATGTTATGATTCTATCAGATATGGCAGTGTTGCTTGTTTCGTTTTTTGGCTCACAGCACGAGTGATACCTGGCCCCTGAAGTGAGACTAAGTCACTGTTTGGATAAATATCACACACTGTGGCCACGAGGCGCAATGCAGGATAATGGCACATTGAATGTTCCTACATTTCCCAAGATTCACTTGACTTAAAGTGGACCTATCATGCTATATTTGAATAATATATTGTAGGGCCATACCAATATAAAACATGTCTGTGATGTTTTTTTTTCAAAATACCAAACAGATCATGCATTTTAGCCATGCCTCATTTGCTCTTTTCCAGCCCTGTTTTTGCAAGGGCTGATTCTGTGACTACAGCGCCACTTACAGGCCTGGTATATGTACTACAGCTGACCACACCCCTGCAAAGGGAGGGGGGCGAGTTACCATGCTGTTACCATGCTGTTACCATGCTGTTACCATGCCACGGCAACCTCTCATTCCCCTGATAGGTGGAGAGTTGCCCATATAAGCGGAGCACCCCGTTTCTGACGTCAGAACAATTTCAAATCTGGATCAGTCTGTATCAGATCCGTTGCAGCCCCGTCTTTAAAGATTTGGGTATGGAGGAAAAGAGAGAGGGTTGTGTTTTCTGACACTTGGTGAGTTCCCTGACACACCGGGGACACATATTCATGTATAAAAAGATGTACAAAAGTGCATTTTGCATGATAGGTCCCCTTTAAGATTCTATAAAGAGGAATTTACACAAATATTACACATCAAAGTCTGTGAACAGGTCTGAAGTAGTGCTTGATTTATTAAAACAATTTGGGTAAAGCTGTGTATTGCTCCAGAGAGAGCAATGCAAAGTGTGATAAACTGTCATAGTGATCTAAAGACTACTAGAACATATTTAATATTAAAGCAGAAAAACAAGGGGGATAATAAAGACGGCAAAGATATATCCACAGTTAGATCACATGAGCTACCTTAGTGTTACCAGACTAAAGCTGTGGTTAGCCTCTTTGCAGCTAGCCACAACCTTTGCTTCATGTCATTTCCCATCCCTCTGAACCTTGTTTCCTTTCATCTCTGTACTGCAGACTATAAATAAAATAGATTTTTATTTATATTTTTAAGAGATGCGGCAACGGAAACCCTGAGTATATCGAATCAAGTGTCGTGTCATTAGTTATCCATCTATCCTTTTAGTGTGAAAGATAGATTGTGTTCTTTCTTTTTTGAAAGTGACATAACCTTGCTAATTATTTTCTCTTAGGAGAAAGCAGCTTTTTATCCTTCTTGCTCGCTGTTCCTGACTGCCATGATGGCCACGTATAGTACCAATGAAAACTGTGCATGAGTAGACTTCCTAATCAAGGTGACCAATTAGGTTGAGTGGCAGCCATTCACTTGTCTCATTATACCCGCTAATGGCTGAGGGAAGCAGGGTCCCGTCCCATCTCTTCATCTCTCTATCCTCTTCCATCACAAAATGACTCCTCTACTCTTTTATCTGCTTCCCCCCCNACCCCCACCCCAACTTTAATTCACCCGTAAATCAGCAGAACAAACAGACGGGGAGGAGAGGAGAGGAGCACAGGAGGAGACAAAGGGTTAGGTATTCTCTGTGGGCATTTAGCTCAAGGATCAGCTATCGTTTTACAGACAAAAGATCGGTGATGAAAGGCAGTGGAAATGCTGAGGCGGATGAAAAATGGTAATGGGTGAAGGAATTATGAGTCCATGTGCATGTGTGCGCCTGTGCATGTCTCACTCTAGATCTCTCAGATTTGTATCCAAAACATGAGATTTTCCTCGGTGGAGGAATGTCATGGCTCTCGTCCTGCGGGAGGATGTGCACGGATGAACGAAGCTTCTGAGCAAGGGCACGCAAAAAAGACCTTGACTTAGATTAGGCCTGTGTGGAATCATTTACAAACACTTAAATAGCCATTTAGGGTATCTAATGTATGATTATTTTCATTATGAATTCATCGAGAGAACATTTTCTGATTGACTGATTCCTTTGTTGGTATAATACATGTCAGAAAATACTCTTTAAATTACTTGAGTCTGTAAATCTTAATCATTTGAAACCCAAATATATTATGTTTATTAAAAAAGGCAAGGTATTGAATGCAAATAATATGCTGTTAACTGACTAGTTGACTTTTAAAACTACAAATACTTGTTATCTAAAACCCGATCGACAGTGGATTAAAATGATTTTATTTTTAATTGAAGGAAAAATTCCAAAATCATGTTGTTAGTACCCAAAGCATCCTTCACTACAGTTGTATCCCTCTACATGGAATGCCCGGCTTTAGACTAAACATCTATTAATAAAAACATCTTAATTGCTTATTTCCTGTGAATCTATCGACTCATTTCCTTTGCTAAAACAAAGTCTACGTGAGATATCATGATCGGCCCACTGAACCCACTGCAATCAGCCCGGCAGTAACCCAGTTTAGAATGTAAACAATCATGCCATCCCCAAGACGTGTGTGTGTGTGTGTGCGCGCACGTGCGTGTGTGTGTGTTATTAATAAAGCTGTCTGTGAGAAGCTTGGGGAGTTTTTAAAAAAAGGGATCGGATAGGAGTTACAGCTAAGTAGCTACAGATAGCAGTGTGACTGTAAAATGAGACCAACACTATACTGCAGTGTTGTTGTTGATGATGATGATCAGATTCTCACCACTGGTTTCACTTCCTGAGTCTTATTTAAATATTTCTGTGTCGTGAATTTAGAAAAGATGTTGACTTATAAGTGTGTATTGCTACTTTAGGCTAATTCAGAATGTACTTTGTAAGTGTTTCCGCATCCTTTAAGAAGACCAGAAGGGGGTTTTAGATGAGACACACAGGAAATGACTATTTGTGGTTCTGTTCTATCAAATATGTTATGTGCTCTTTAAATACATAAACGCACAAAGGGTAGCCTTATTGCATTGCTGTTATATGGGATCATTATATACCATGCATTTGTGTTTGTTATTGTGCAACCTCTGTACGCTACACAGTGCAGAGAAGAATGGCATGCATTGTCTCTTTCCACATGATTGTGGGATAGTTACCATGGCTATATGGTCATATAAAGCATGTCTTTGAAACAAAGATCCATTAATGTTTGACACCGATCCTCGTTATCTTCTGTAAACTCCTCCAGCCCTGCCTTGTTATCTTCTTCTGACGGCTATCTCTTTCCCTTATTCAGTAGAAGCCACTTTCCTCTATTAGCCCTACTACACATAAAGTAACAAACTTTGTTCTGAATTACTTTAACTAACTATTTGAAAATTACCAACCGAATGCGCTCAGATACAAATAAATAAAAGATAATCTAAGCAGGAAAAGGAAAGATGAGCAAATGACAGGATGTGACTGAGAGGGCAAATAAACTAAAAAGCAAAACAAATATACCACCAGCCATTCAAAGCCACTTCTCAATCTGACTACCGAGCGATTGAGGTGTGAACACTAGCCTCTGTGGTGCCCTGCGGAAACCCACTTAATTGCAACCATTTTCCTTCAAAAACAAGAAGATCAGCACTTCTCTTCACTAGTGTTATGATAGATCATTAGAGTGTAAGATGCTATCAGGTGCCTACCTCATGCTGGACAGGCCAAAGTCCTTGTTGGGCTGTCGGCACCAAATGCCCCTGGATCAGACTGGAGTCTCTCTAAAGCCCCGACATGTATAGTAACACAACCCTGGCTCCACACGAGTGAGTGTATTTAAAGTCCCTCAGCAGGAAAGCAACAGCACCCATTAGATGCGCAAAATATAAGCACCCATATCTCATTTATAGAATCCACTCATTGACCTGGTTGTTAATTTCGGACGGCAACAAGATGCTATCTGTTCTGCTGCACAGAAGGGATCAGGACGGCTCTGCGGAGGGAGGGGGGGTGCGTCTTGGAGCGATAGTCAAACTCAGTGGACTTGAATCCACATAGCTGATCTATAAATTCTACTTCTACTGGTGGCAATAGACTGCCAGACTGGGAAAGTTTGCGAGTTGCCAGGGGCAACAATCTGTTCACTAAAGCCCCTCCTTGTATGCAAGTAACCTTCACTGACCGGTGTGACATGCCTTCCCTCTAAAAAAGCACACACACACACACACACACACACACACACACACACACACACACACACACACACACACACACACCTCTCTCTGCTAGGCTGACCCTCCACATGATATGTAGGTTGACCTGTTACGAGGAATAAAGAACTGTTTCTCACTGTGATTACAGGCTCTGTGAAGCAGCTTTTTCAAACCATCTGTGCCTTTTAAATGATTCAGCACATCAAATTGCTGCTTCACAGGCTGCATGTACACACGTGTATTTCTATTGTGAATATCCCCCATTTATGCCACACACAGCACTCTTTTTTTGTCAATAATACATATTTTCATGAAGATTTGATTGCTTTGCGGCAACAATTTAGCTTCAGATTCCCTGTAACACATTTCCACTCTTGTTGATTGAATACACTAAATCCGCCAATAGACTGGGAAAGCCACAACTGTCACTGGCTGGCTCGAGGCGCTCCCACGTGTGTCTCAACAAGGTGTATTTTTATCAGTGCAGAATGTTGGCAACGTCATAACAGGGGAGATGGGCCCTTACTAGAATTACCACAAACATAAGGGCCCTTGAAATGTGATCAGCAACCTGTGTTTTTGACAGTAAAACACTCCCACTTAGTTTGTGCTGACACAAGCAGCTCAGGCACAACATCTGTTTGCCTTGAGGAAGTTACAGTGTTTTTACATCTCATCATGGTGTCTCAGACTAAGCAACGTTTATTTTGGGGAGATCATTTTGATGTTCTAATAACTGCAACACAAGGCCTCTTCTCTGTTTGTGCTTTGGTGTAGCTGACTCAGACAGCACAGTGTATTCTTAGCTTCATGCAGACTCAGGTTAAAGCATGTGCAAATGTTACTGCTAATAAATCCTAGCAGCACTGAGTACAGTGGGTCAACATAGTTACACTTCACAAGGCTCGAACAAAGGTGGACATTTCGAATCCTGCAAATCCCGGAAGTGATGGAAGACTGTTTCTAAGCCTTAAGAAGAACCAGCACATGTAAACATCAAGAACTAAAAGCTCATGCCAACAGTTTCGTGTTCAATTCGCAAACCAAAACTATGACTAAGCAATTCGTCAAGAATCCTTTTTTCCATGACTAAGACCGACCTCGTTAAACACTGAAATGTAGTTTAAATAATTAAAACTGTTCTACAATCTCTATTTATATTTTGTAAGACCTGAGTTTGCTTCTTTTTTTCTTTTTTTTTTTACAGTTCAGTCTATTGTGCTTCAGCCAAAACAAATTGACACAGCAGGGGACTATTTAACAGACCCATTTTGTGTGTGAATTAGAATTGAAAAAGTCACATTACTAGCATGAATGGAACAAAGCATGCATTGAGGAATATCCCGGGACAGTTGAATGATCACAAGCAGCAGAATGGAGGCTGATTCAAGGCTGAATAATGATGCAATGAAAGGAGAAGACACAGTAAGATTCACACAGTAGTAAGATGCATGCATGTGCACTGTCACAGGCAATAAAGTATAGCTTATATTACATAAGCAGCACAAACACTATATATATACTGTCCCATCTGAGAGCAAAACCCATCTATGCATTTAGACTAAGTGCATGTTGAAAGTGCTGAATTACTGAATAATGAAACCATAGTGCCATGACTGAATTACAGTCCCAATAGTTTTTAATGCAGTCCCAGGTAGGAGAAGCACGCAAAGATGTGCTATAATGGGCATTTCAAGTCTGATAAATGCATAGCATTCCTCTCACAGAAAGTGTTTAGTTACTAGTGTGTAATTATACCTCTATTTGAGTTTTTCTAGTAAGACCAACCCTTCCACAGAATTGTATTTACAGTGCTAGAGTATGAAGAGAAATGTATAAAAAAGGGACATTATGGAAAAAGCCTTGTTTGAAACGCTGAATCGATTTAGCAGCATTGAACAAAGTTTTAAAAGATTTTGTTGTTAAACTGTTAGTGACGAGAAAAAAAAGGTTGAAGCTCAATCATGACGTCATGATTAAAAAAAGTCTCTTATCTTATTTATCTCCAAATTCTAATGACCGGTTTTGTCATTTCCTTTGACATCTTACTGCTAACATGATATCCGAAAAAAGTTAATTAATAATGATAATAATCATGTATTTTCCAGAGATTAATGAAGTATAGTCCTACCCAGATACAGAACAAGTGCTCCGTCATTCTTTTGGTTAATAATGGAATGTTAATAAACAGCCAAACTAAAAGGTATTTGTTGTTCTTACCTGTGCAGTTTCTTAGGTGGGGGAGGAGGAGGAGGATTGGGCTCATTGTTGGCAGATCCCCTCGCTGCCAGCAGCTCTGATGAGCCGCCATGATACGGTTGCTTGGACGGCATGCTCCCGTTATGCTTGCCCTCCTCCTCTGCACCGGTGCCCTCAGTCTCCCCCTGACAGGCACCATTGTCGGGGGCAGCTGGGGGGGCCGTGCCTGGCTCTGTCACCGAAGGGGGGCTGCTGTGGGCCTTGCAGTCCCTGGCATCCTTCCAGACAGCGGCACCATTGACCAGGCCCGTCACCCGAGATGCTGTCCCTGGGTTAGGTGCCAACTTCTTCTTCACCCCCTCTTTCCGCTCCCTCTCATCCTCCTCCTCTTCTTCCTCAATGCGGCAGTTCCAGCCAGAACTGTGGTGGTGGGGCGGCTTGTGCCAGCGTTCGGACGATGCTGAACTGTGGTTCTCCGTGTGGACCTTGAAGTGGCCCTCTCGAGCAGAAACTAGGAAAAGCATGGGGAGTTCAGGGAGAGGGACCGGAGACGAGAAGGACGGCGAGAGGCTGGAAGTGCTTAATCTGGGGAGATCAGGAAGAGGGACTGGAGACGAGATGGACGGCGAGAGGCTGGAGGCGCCTAGTTTTGGGGAACGGCTGGTCCTTTTCGGGGGAATGGGTGGGCTGGACTGAGGCTTGGGGTAGAAAGTTGGGGTAAGGCTGGCTTCTGTGAGCAAAGAAGGTGAGCTGTGGCTGGGGCTGGGCCAACGAAAGGCCGGGCTAGTGGGGTCTTTGCGTGCTGTGGGGCTGAAGTGGCATTGGGTGCTAATGGCTGAATCTGGACTGCTCAGGAAGAAAGTCCTGTTGTTCTCCTCTGTGTGAGTTGCCATTACAGTGATGGTGGCCCGTTGACTCTCTCCCAAAAGCTCAGAGCCCTGGGATAAGTTCTTAGTCTGGTTTGGGGACACAGGATTGGATTGTACCCCATTTTCTTGCGGCCTGCGCTTTTTCTTGGTGCTCTCAGCATAAATGGGTTCTGAGTCATTAGGAGAGTTGGGATCTGACTCTGAGCCTCCCATTGCAGGTGGGCTCCCTGACCGGACTGAATCTGTACTACTACGATAGGAAGAAGAGGAGTCCGATAGACTGGTTTGTCCAGACAGGGCGGGAAGAGAGTGGAGGGATAGTGGGGGGTTATGGCAAATGGTGTCCACACTTAAGGCTTTGGCGAGGAAAGGGGTAGAAGTGCTTGATATCTTAGCAGTAACGGAAGCAGTACTCTCACTGCTGATACTGTTGCTAGGACCACTGGAAGGGACAATATCCAGAGAAAAAGGTATCTCCACAGATGCCTGGTCAGTGTCCTGAAGATTTGCCCTGGTAGTCACACTAATTCCATTATAAGTGCTCTTGGTTCTAGTGGTGGTTGTATTCTGCTGCCTACAAGTGTCTCCATTAGCATTCTTCAAACACGGAGAGCCTCTACCCTCCTCCTGGGTGACAAAGATGTTGCTGATGATCATCGAGTCTTTAGGCAGGTGACTGGGCGATAAAGAATCCAGGGAAATGCAGTTGTTATAGTCCTTCTTTGTTTCAGGACTCTGAAGAACTGCATCCCTATGGGCCTTGTTGCAGCCGTTACTATCAATGTAGAGAGACGACAGGTCTAGGAGCTTCCTCAGGCCCAAACGCTCAACTGGGCTCTTCGTGTTCTCCTGAAACATACACAAGGACATGCGTTAAATAACAGATTCATCATTATGGGCAGGAATAGAATACTTTTAGATGAACAGAGGATTACCTGATCTATGTTCATGTTGACATCAATCAAAGACTCGTTGGTGTCGAGGCTCATCATAGTTGGTTTGACAGCGATGGTTGGCTTGCTGTAGGGTGAAGGCGATGTTACTCCAGTTTCTTCATCGCCTCCCAGGATGCTCTTCAAACAAGCAGCTGGCACACTGCCATCCAGGCCGCCGACAGTCTTGTGGTGCGCACTCAGCGGGTGGAAGCAGTTCTTACAAGAGCCGGGTTTCCACACGTGTTCTGCAAAGTCGCTGCACGCTGACATCTTTGGTTTGCTAAATCAGGTTCGTCAGAAGTGGCTGTTGAGTGATGTGGAAGATACCGGATGAAGCGTCATGGCTGGCACACAGAAGGTTGCAACGTCACAAGTTGTTGATCACAAAGCAGTATGTAGAGGACAGAGAAGAATGGGAAACATTGTTAATAGAATGAAGATAATACATCCTTGTAACTTTTGTTATGACCATATCATAATCACAATCCTATGTTTCTTTGTGAACAAGTTAAGCTGCTTGCATACATAGGAACTGTCTAAAAATACAATTAAATTAGAAAGATCAGTATCGGAGAGAAAAGTAATACCAGTTTTTTTTGTTTTCATTTGTTTTCACCCGAGACATATTAGGAAATTCCAACAGAAAAAGAGGGTATGTTACTTTTTCTTTTCGAAAGTGTTAATATAGTGATGAGTGAGTCCAGGCTTACAAGTGTCTCAGAGCTCACAGAGGACCCCCATTAGGATTTAAGTGTCATCCGCGGGAGTAATTTAAGAAGACCTGATATGTGCTCTGCTACTTGTTCCCATGGCTTCCTAAATTAGAGGGTATGTGGTTTCTGTTCAACCAAAGGGTCTGTCGGTGAAAGCCAAGTGACATAAAAGCCCCCCCTGAGTCCTCTGCAGCCCCCGACATGCTAGAAGAAGACGGAGGAGCCTCAAGCATCCCAGAGGTCGGAATGCCAGGAATGTCTAAAGTCTCACCAGGGTGAATCTCACACCAACGACAACCTCCCATCCCCCTTCCACACAGACCTCCAACAACACCAAACATGTGTGTCTGACACACACACACACACACACACACACACACACACACACACACACACACACACACACACACACACACACACACACACCTCCTGTGTGTCCTGTTTAACTGGGCTGACAGTGAGAAGATCAACACAGTTTCAAGATCATTTGTTTCCTTGCATCTGGGTGTCCCTCTGGGTGTTTTACACAGTCTTAATTGCCTCTCAACAAGGTGCTGCTATGACACATGGGGCAACATTAGCCCACTATCTAGAGACTCATTATCATAAAAAAACACGAGAAAGCAGGAGGTTGAAAATGTACTCTCCTGAAACAAATACAAGGGGGTGATACATGCAAGCTGATTACTTACATTTGTCTTATTTCAGGCATTTAGTTTGTAGTGATTCCTGATTTTGCATTGACTAAAATACAAGAACAGACAAATGAATGCTTTTTCTTAAAACTCATTGCTCTAGTATTACAACCTTTCAATCTACTAATCTATAAGTATTAAGCGTTTCCTGCTGGTGATGATAATGCAAGTTTGCATGTTTCTGTCTGACTCAGGTTGAGCAGGAAAGCACCCACTATTTCAGTGTTTGTTTAACCGTTCCTGCGACAACAGAGGAAAAGGAGCCTTGCCTAACATCTTATGGCATTGTGTATGAGTCACATGAAGCGATGACTGATCATTGGGCTGCTGAGCCTGTGTAGACAATAGACTGACTGCCACTCAAGAACATGTCTAGGGGGTTAATGGGACACTCAGGCAATAACAGAACATTATCATGGTGTATTTAATACGTTAGGATATAACTAACAGGGGCAATTTAGTCTTTATTGTTCCACTTTCCCTGCAGGGGATACAAAAAAAAATACCAGAAGTTGAAATGAGGGAATTCAATTTGAACTGGAATGTCAGACGGTAAACATTTTCTGTATTTCCAGAGAAAACAGAGAGCCATCTCCACCTCAAGTTATTCTACCTCTTGTTTACATGTTCATCCTGCCTTGTTTGAACAGAGATAGACCCTGCCGTCTACATTCCCCACACCTTCTCAAGCTCAAGGTTCAATATTTCTCACTTCCTCTTGTAAAAACACACACAGGGCATAACCGCGAGAAATTCAGCCACATGACAGAATTCAAGGCCTGCCTTCAATCAAAACAATACACAGACTATGAAAAATGTCTCATGAACATGTTGGAAGTCGGGTTCTGGAAAAAATATGAAGAATGCAAAGGAAAAATGACGTGGGATTGGATGACAGTCTGGTGTGAAATTCATAATATTTGGCCACTTAATAAAGACATCATGAGCATTGAAGTCACCAGGCATGTACCCATGACCTCTGTGCATCATGCAAAGTGAGCTGGCCACTAGATGTCTCAAAAAATCACACTTGATCCGCTTGTGAAATTTAAACCCACTACCCTAATGTGTGGGAGTCTGAACATAATACCCTTAGACTAAAAGCCAAATTGTCAATTTCCCTTGAGATCACAAAACTAGGTATTTGCTTTGAGCTAACAAGTTGTTATGCATAGAGGTTGAGGAATGCAGTCAGGGTGCAATGTTAGACTGGATGGCAACAGTTTAAATAGCCCAGAGATATGGAGAGCAAGAGGAGTATAATTAAGGTAAAGGTTAGAGGGCTTATCAACACTCAACAGCTGGTAAAACTGTACTTTGTCGGAATCCTTGCAGGACACATTTGACCCCCCTAAACACACCAGAACTAACAGCATTGGGGACAGACTTGATGAAGTACATGTCATCTGATGGTAATTTTTCTTGGGTTACTGTAACATAATTCATGATGCTATCCTGTTTTTTAACTGCTTTAATGTGCCATGCCAAAAAAAGGCCTATACACTTGAATGAATGAAATGCCTACAGACTGATAGCCATTTATAAACAGAATAATTAGACAATCTATAGTCCATATTACGGTCTGATGACAAGGTCAGTGTGTAGTCACCCACTTTGAATACAAATGCTTTCAGGAGCAAATTTTGTCACGCTTGCCTTGCTCACAGCCCATTCATTCATAGGGGGGCACAACCTGTTTTTCAATAGGCTACTCAGAAGGGATTTCCGCCAACACTTGTAAACTTCTGACAAATATCTCACAACTTCCGCCTTACAGCCAGTGATTTAAATGTATGGTAGCATGTTAAGTAAACACACATTTAACATAACATACACACCCCATGTGTTTAGTCTTAAGCTTCCTTTTTTAGATTTGATATGAAGATGTGACAAAACACTTGTCTCGCCTGTTGTAGCCAAGTCTGGTTTAGAACACGGTATTGTCGCATTTAAATCATTTATGTCCGCGAGCCTGAGGAATATGGCAAAAAAAAAACAACCGCTGTTGTATTTACCTGCTTTCATTCAACACATAATTGGTCAACGTAACTATGGCTTAATATACATCGAAAAACCAACACAATATAAAAGGAAACAAAAAGGCTACAATGTAACCATGCTAAAGTAGCCAAGGTTATATCGTGCCTATTGACTGGCTGCTTACCTGCTCGGACTTTCTCTTCCCTGGCAACACAAAAGCCCTCCAAAAAAAGACAAAATAATTTAACAACACAACTGTGTCGTAGCTGCTCTTCTATTTCCCGCAGATATCCTCCTGTCTTCAGGTATCCCACATGCGACAGGTCAATAACCAGGAGGCTGTGTCGCTGCTGCAGGCTGTTCTCGGCTCTTGCTGCTGCTGCTGCTGCTGCTGTTGCACCGTGCAGAGGTGGAGTGAGGCGGAGCAGAGCCCTCTGCAGCAGCGTGGAGAGCACAAGGAGGTGGGAGGAGCTCAAACCAACCATGCAGTCTGGCCAGCGGCCATTCTCACAGATTTTCATTAAAGGTCCCCTATTATACTGTTTTTCATCAATATATTTGAGGTCAGTTATATATATAAAACATGTCTATGAAGTGTTTGGCTCCAATTACCAAACGTATTGTAGCATGCCATAAACCCCTCTGTTTCAGCCCTGTTTCAAAAGTGCTGATTCTCTGTCTGTTACTTTAGATGCAAATAAGGAGCCACTCCCCTTGCCCCTCTAAGAGATATTCGGTTAAAAAAAAAACACAGGTGCTCTAGGAGGAGATTCAGGTGAAAAGGTGATTACCTTGGTTGGTTATTGGCTAATGGTTACACAAGCCAACAATCTGATCAGCTCATTTTCAGACAGGTTTTTATATAAATGGATCAGGAGAAAAAGAGAGCAAATATTTGTTCCTGAAACTTTCAGAATCTCTTTAAACAGAGGGGACACATGTTTCTGTATAAAACACATGAAAAAGTGGATTTTGCATAATAGGTGTCAACATTATTATTTTTCTATCACCCTGTCATTGGATTTGAAAGATTGCACAACTTTTCAAAGCAAAGGATACAAACCCTTTTTTGGTTAAAGCCCCACTGTGCTATGCAGGTTTGTTCTGCAAGCAATTCATCTTGATCAGAAGCCCCTTTGATGTGGGACTGGACTGCTCCTGCTTCTGTTCATCATGGCTGGGGTGACAGAGTGATAGGAAAACACTGCCACCAGGCTGGACCCCTGCAGTTTCCATTAGAGGCAGCAAAAGGAGAAGCAAAGAGTGACAAACACAGCCGCTGTGTTGGATAAGGGCGGTCATCCATAGATATTAACCTTTTAACTGAGCACTAAGAAGTACCACTGAAATGAGGTATTATCTGTTGACTTTTGACTAATTAAAACATTCAGAATTTGACCTGAATTTGTTTTGGCTCTTTTAATACATTATCTTTGGGTTTTCTTTACTTCGGTACATGTAGGCACACAGGCTTTAAAAAGAGCAGTTTCCCTGAAAAATCAAGCCATTTTTCAAATCACAAATCAAGTAGCGGCCCTCCACTCTGAGGATGACATTGCTCTGCACTACTTCCTGTGAAAGGTCACACCCGTGCATATGAATCGATTGGACACAGAACCCGCCAGTTTCCTGAACCTCAAGCGAGGATTTATAGCAGAGCTGAGACAATCAACATAAGTGGCACAGCAGAGACTGTATCCAGGAAAAGTGATATCTTTTACAAGGCCACCTGTTGAATTTGGATAGAGTCACAATCTTCTCAAGAGGATTAAGAGATGGTTGCATTGTTATATTTGGCAGTATGAGCATGCGATATTTCTCCTGATGGGGTATTCCAAATAGCTTGTGATGAAAGAATTTAAAATAAGCTTCTCGAAATAGCCTAAAAATAGCAGATTATTATATAAATTCATGCTGGAAGTGGCATATCATGTTCTAATATTGATGTGATTTTTCTAAGAATTCCCTTGTTGACTACATGGGGTGTCACTCTGTTCGCTCAGAGGAAAGGCTGTCATATAAAACTGTTTTCGAGACACACTGAGATAAATCTTCCAGTACAGGCTGAGATTTTAGTGCTAAGATGTTGTGGGAATATTCAAATTAGAGGAGCGCAGCGGGAGGGGGGGTGGGGGGGGTTACTTATGGACACTGCAGTGTTGGAAGACCTTTTCCCTCATTATGTCTTCAGTATGAATTGCATAGTAAAGAAAACCACAACGGCAAAAAAAGTGTTGGTAAAAGAAGATGGCTAGTTTTTTCCATGATCAGCATGTGCTATACTCCAAATACCTTACCATGAACTATCTATACATTATTACTGATACATTAAAGATGCTTTTGGTCTGCAAGTATGCTTCCCGCTTGTGCTTGCATGAAGCTGAAGCTGTCAGGCTGTGTCCTATAAAACATTTGGAGTTCCTCATCTTTTATAGTGCTTCCTTAAATTATGAAGGGAATCAGAGCCACTTAATTTGAATTTGCCACACTATGTACAGTACACTGATGAATTAGCAGTTTGGTGACATGCTGTAGACAGCTGTGAGTTTGTGTGACAGAGCCTGTAATGATGGCTGTACCTCTGTGCACTGCAACATGAAAATGATGTTGGAGAAGAGCCAATCATAAACTGCACAGGTCCCAGATACAACGTCAGGATGCTGAAATATGAGCAGCGCTTCGACAACTCTATAAGATATATGTAATATCCTGATGCTCCTCTGCAATATAACCAATCACATAAAAGATAAGGTAAATGAAATGCTTAAATATGTAATGTTTGAAATAGATTGATCCAATGTTGCCTAGAAAGATCAGTATAGGCTTTAGATTCTACACCTGCTTTGCCAGCGTTCAAACGGCAGTACCTACTCTCCTTTCTTTGAATTATTCAAACGGACAATCATCTCAAATTAATTTCAGACAGGAGATAAGTTGGTTTTAATGCAAAGTAGCAAGAAATAGACCTCTTGTGATGATTGAAGGCATTACTCAGGTCAGATAGGACACTACCTCTCTTTCATACTGTCAGCCACTATGAGTAGAATAATATGAGTCTGCTCAGAATGGTTCCCCGTGGTTATGAATAAAAGCTCGGCTTAGAGTCAATATCGGAATTAAACTGACTATATAGAAGAAGTATTTTTTCTTACTGTTTACTAATTTAAGAAGGCTTTTTTCAAAATGTGTATCAGAAAGGTTCACTAAGCAGAACTTTTTTAAATGATACACAAGGTCTTTATAAATGCTGTGTGGTCATCAACCTTCAACAAAACATTAAAATGTCTCTGTTTCTGAGAGGGAGGAAAACCAGATTTGCCAGCTGTATTCAGTCATACTTTTGTTACATGCATCTTATATTGAAAAATATGTATGTGTATCTGTTTACTGAGATTTGCTTTCTGGCCATGTTGCATGAGCTTTACTCTGGAAATATCTACAACAAAAAGGAGAAGTTCAGAATTTTGCCCTCTAACTGTTTTGTTTGGGCTAATTGACAAACCAGGTCTTGTAATGCTCAGGTTTCTTTCTGTTTCTGTGTGCAACTTCCCATTACCACGGGAGGCCCCATAAAAGATATCCTGTCAAGACACCAAAAGGACTTTGTTTGCATTTGGCCCGCATGTGAAGAACACTCTTTTAGTCAGTCACCGGAGACATTAGACTTCCCATTAGAAACTCAATGCTTATCTCAGATTCTCGCGCTGAAACATTTAAAAGCTCAACTTTTAAAGTTCAAGTGACAATAAGTGTTTGAAATGAAAGATGAAAGAGGGAAAGAACCACTGTTTGCAGTCAACCTATTTACTGCTTGTCGGAAACACTACAAAGAGCGAGAGGGGCTGAATGTACACCGGCCCCCTCAGGACTCACTTTCTTCTCCACAGGTCGTCCCTCTTAAAACCTCAACATTCAAAGGTAACCTTGTGTAACTGTATGCCTCTGGGAGCCGGGCACCAGGAATTAATTGTGTGTGTGTGTGTGTGTGTGTGTGTGTGTGTGTGTGTGTGTGTGTGTGTGTGTGTGTGTGTGTGTGTCAAAAAGAGAGAGGTGGGTGTCAGATTTAGTGCCTTTCCTCTACTGGGTTGCCATGGCAGTCGTGTAGAGGAGTTGGTGTAGTTAGGAATGCAAAGATAAGGCAACCCTGAGCCGCACCGCACCTCACACACATACACACACACACACACACACACACACACACACACACACACACACACACACACACACCCATATAAACCCACCCTGTATACTTTCTATCACCTACACAGATGACGATATTCTTCCACTGCCTCCATGGTTGCATTCCTCTACCTGTCCCTACAGGCTAACCCTCTGATTACGAAACGCACACAAACCCTTCCCCATCAATAGAACACATAATTTGTTTACAGAGATTGAGGGATCTTTTGACGTGATCTCCCCTTAATTTACCTGGATTACTCATAATAGTAGAGGACACTGTATGTTTCAAAGTTAGATGATGAACTATACTATTTAAATATTTTACTGAAGTATTAATCCATTATTTTCTATATAAACCTCACCTCCAGACACCTCAGAGTACATTAAGGTAGAAAAGAAAGCATGTGTTATCCATCTTTTATATTCTGCTTGCGGGCCATAGTTAGGTTAGTGTAGTATTGTAGTTTAGCATTGTTGCTATGGTAACCTGCTGTTTAATAGAGCTTTAAAAGAGGGTTTCTTGTTTATTGTCTCCAACGGTCACCATAGTGAATGTATAGTGAACGTTTGAGCACTTTTAGGGCTTTTGAGGACATGAAACTAACAAAACCAAACATGAAATAAATGTTAAAGAAGTCAGGGGTTTAAATATTAAAATTAAAGCAGTCTATCTTCTGGGAAATTGTCTTTTTGCTTTTTATTGAGTTATATGAATCTCTCTCATGCACGTGTGATAAGCATGACAAAATTAGCTTAGCATGGCAAACAGCTGCCAGGCACAGTATCTTCTTCTACTATAACATATAATAATACAGCAGGTAACTTACACTAAAACCACAATTTGTCCCCCTGGCTCCAGTTCTACACATGACAGAAAAAAAACATGTTTTGTTTCTTCAAGAAATAATATATTGCCGTATCAAAATCAGAGTCGATTTAGAATTAGTTTGAGAGCAACAAAAAATAAAATCACATTGACACACAACAAAGAGTGTCAGAAACACACTATCACAATTTAGTAACAAACCAACAATAATGCAATGATATGGCTCAAGCAGTAACAAGTGACAACGTAATGTGTGTGTGTTTGTTTATACAACCAGTGGAGCATTTAGGATGCAGATTGCTTCAGGTTAAATGCTATTGAGTAAGCGCGGTGTTAGTGTTTATAGGGTTTACAGGGTGTTGTGTCCTTTAAACATAATCATGCAAGAAAACCGGAGCATATCACTAAAAGAAAACT